AAAGATCTCCAACAAAGTCTAAAAACGATTGAACAGCTATGGAAGAAATCTTGAAGTTTTATTAGAAATCTTTTTAAAAAACTGGGAGGGAGCAGGCAAGGGCAAAGAAACTTTCCGGGGGCTATTCCATTTCTGGGGGCCAGAAAAACAGGAAGGTCCCTAACAACCTCGAAAACGTTTGAACAGCTTTGGAAGAAATCTTGATGTTTTAGCAAAAATTTCTTTTAAAAAACTGGGAGGGGGGAAAGGAAAGGCAAGGAAATTTTCTGAGGGCCATTCCATTTCTAGGAGCCAGAAAAAAAGAAAGATCTCCAACAAAGTCAAAAAACGATTGAACAGCAATGGAAGAAATTTGATATTTCAATAGAAAATTTTTTTTAAGAAACTGGGAAGGGGCAAGCAAGGGCAAGGAAACTTTCTGAAGGCCTTGTTTTTTCAGGGAGCCAGAAAAAAAAGAAAGATCCCTAATAATGTCAAAAAACGATTGAACATTAATGGAAGAAATCTTGATGTTTGAAAAGAAATTTTTTTTAAAAAAAACTAGAAGGGGGAAAGCAAGGGCAAAGAAGCTTTCTGGGAGCCATTCCATTTCTGGAAGCCAGAAAAAAAAAGATTTATTAGAAAGTCAAAAAACGATTGAATAGCTATGGAAGGAATCTTGATGTTTAAATATAATTTTTTTTTAAAAACTTGGAGAGGACAAGCAAGGGCAAAGAAGCTTTCTGGGGGCCATTCCATTTCTGGGGGCTAGAAAAAAAGCAAGGTCCCTAACAACGTCAAAAACGTTTGAACAGCTTTCGAAGAAATCTTGATGTTTTGATAGAATTTTTTTTTAAAAACTGAGAGGGGGCAAACAAGGGCAAAGAAGCTTTCTAGGGGCCATTTCAATTCTGGGGGCCAGAAAAAAAGGAAGGTCTCTGACAACGTCAAAAACGATTGAACAGCTATAAAAGAAATCTTGATGTTTTAATAGAAATTTTTTTTAAAAAAACTGGGAGGGTGCAAGCAAGGGCAAACAAACTTTCTGGGGGCCATTGCATTTCTTGGAGCCAGAAAAAAAGAGGCTTAACAAAGTCAAAAAACGATTGAACAGCAATGAAAGAAATCTTGACATTTTGATACAAATTTTTTTTTAAAAACTGGGAGGGGGCAAGCAAGGCAAACAAACTTTCTGGGGGCCAGACAAAAGAGAAATATCCCTAACAAAGTCCGAAAACGATTGAATAGCTATGGAATGAATTTTGATGTTTCAATAGAATTTTTTTTAAAAAACTGAGAGAGGGCAAGCAAGGGCGAACAAACTTTCTGGGGGCCATTCCACTTCTGGAGGCCAGAAAAAAAGATCCCTGACAAAGTCAAAAAACGATTGAACAGCTATTGAAGAAATCCTGATGTTTTAATACAGAATTTTTCTAAAAAACTGGGAGGGGGAAAGCTAGGGCAAAGAAGTTTTCTTGTGGCTATTCCATTTCTGGGAGCCAGAAAAAAAAGGATGACTCATTAGAAAGTCAAAAAACGATTGAACAGCTATGAAAGAAATCTCGATGTTTTTATAGATATCTTTTATAAAAAACTGGGAGGAGGAAGCAAGGCAAACAAAATTTCTGGGGGCCAGACAAAAAAAGAAAGATCCCTAACAAGTCCAAAAACGATTGAACAAATTTGGAAGAAATCTTGATGTTTAAAAAGAAATTTTTTTTTAAATAATAGGAGGGGGCAAGCAAAGGAAAGAAGCTTTCTGGGGGCCATTTCATTTCTGGGGGCAAGACAAAAAAAGAAATATCCCTAACAAAGTCCAAAAGCGACTGAATAGCTATGGAAGGAATCTTGATGTTTAAATAGCAATTTTTTATTAAAAGCTAGGAGGGGGCAAGCAAGGCCAAAGAAGCTTTCTGGGGGCCATTCCTTTCTGGGGGCCAGAAAAAAGGAAGATCCCTAGCAAAGTCAAAAAACGATTGAACAACTATGAAAGAAATCTTGAAGTTTTGATAGAAATTTTTATTAAAGAAACTGGGAGGGGCAAGCAGGGGCAAACAAACTTTCTGGAAAACATTCCATTTCTGAGAGCCAGAAATAAAAGAAAATTCCAAAAGAAAGTCAAAAAACGATTGAACAGCTTTAGAATAAATCTTGATGTTTTAATAGAATTTTTTTTAAAAAACTGGGAGGGGGCAAGCAAGGGTAAAATAATATTTAGTGGGCCATTCCATTTCAGGGAGCCAGGAAAAAAAGAAAGATCCCTAATAAAGTCAAAAAACGATTGAACAGCAATGGAAGAAATTTGATATTTTAATAGAAATTTTTTTTAAGAAACTGGGAAAGGGCAAGCAAGGGCAAAGAAACTTTCTGAAGGCCTTGTTTTTTCAGGGAGCCAGAAAAAAAGAAAGATCCCTAAAAAAGTCAAAAAACGCTTGAACAGCTATAGAAGAAATATTAATGTTTTAATAGAATTTTTTTAAAAAACTGGGAGGGGGAATCCTAGGGCAAAGAAGTTTTCCGGGGGCCATTCCATTTCTGGAAGCCAGAAAAAAAAGAAAGATCTATTAGAAAGTCAAAAAACGATTGAATAGCTATGGAAGGAATCTTGATGTTTAAATAGAATTTTTTTTTAAAAACTAGGAGGGGACAAGCAAGGGCAAAGAAGCTTTCTGGGGGCCATTTCATTTCTGGGGGCCAGAAAAAAGGAAGGTCCCTAACAAAGTCAAAAATGATTGAAAGGCTATGGAAGAAATCTTGATGTTTTAATAGAAATTTTTTTAAAAAAACTAGGAGGAGGAAAGCAAGGGCAAACAAACTTTCCGGGGGCCATTCCATTTCTGGGGGCCAGAAAAAAAACAAACATCCCTAACAAAGTCGAAAAAACGATTGAACAGCTTTGGAAAAAATCTTGATGTTTCAATAGAAATTTTATTTTAAAACTGGGAGGGGGCAAGCAAGGGCAAAGAAGCTTTCTGGGGGCTATTCCATTTCTGGGGGCCAGAAAAAAAGAAACAGCGCTAACAAATTAAAAAAACAATTGAACAGATATGGAAGGAATCTTGATGTTTAAAAATAATTTTTTTTAAAAACTAGGAGGGGGCAAGCAAGGGCAAAGAAGCTTTCTGGGGGCCATTTCATTTCTGGGGGCCAGAAAATAAAAGAAGGTCCCTAACAACGTCAAAAACGTTTGAACAGCTTTGGAAGAAGTCTTGATGTTTTAATAGAATTTTTATTTTAAAACTGGGAGGGGGCAAGCAAGGGCAAAGAAGCTTTCTGGGGGCTATTCCATTTCTGGGGGCCAGAAAAAAATAAAACAGCGCTAACAAATTAAAAAAACAATTGAACAGATATGGAAGAAATTTTGATGTTTTAAAAAAAATTTTCCTAAAAAAATAGTAGGGTTCGAGGAAGGGCAAAAAAACTTTCTGGGGGCCAGAAAAACGATTGAACAGCTATGGAAGAAGTCTTGATGTTTCAATGGGAATTTTTTTAAAAAACTTGGAGGGGGCAAGCAAAGGCAAACAAAATTTCTGGGGGCCAGAAAAAAGAAGAAATATCCCTAACAAAGTCCAAAAACGATTGAATAGCTATGGAAGGAATCTTGATGTTTAAAAATAATTTTTTTTAAGAACTAGGAGGGGGCTAGCAAGGGCAAAGAACCTTTATGGGGGCCATTTCATTTCTGGGGGCCAGAAAAAAAGAAGCTCCCTAACAACGTCAAAAACGTTTGAACAGCTTTGGAAGAAGTCTTGATGTTTTAATAGAATTTTTTTTAAAAAACTGGGAGGGGGCAAGCAAGGGTAAAATAATATTTAGTGGGCCATTCCATTTCAGGGAGCCAGGAAAAAAAGAAAGATCCCTAATAAAGTCAAAAAACGATTGAACAGCAATGGAAGAAATTTGATATTTTAATAGAAAATTTTTTTAAGAAACTGGGAAAGGGCAAGCAAGGGCAAAGAAACTTTCTGAAGGCCTTGTTTTTTCAGGGAGCCAGAAAAAAAGAAAGATCCCTAAAAAAGTCAAAAAACGCTTGAACAGCTATGGAAGGAATCTTGATGTTTAAATATAATTTTTTTTTAAAAACTTGGAGAGGACAAGCAAGGGCAAAGAAGCTTTCTGGGGGCCATTCCATTTCTGGGGGCTAGAAAAAAAGCAAGGTCCCTAACAACGTCAAAAACGTTTGAACAGCTTTCGAAGAAATCTTGATGTTTTGATAGAATTTTTTTTTAAAAACTGAGAGGGGGCAAACAAGGGCAAAGAAGCTTTCTAGGGGCCATTTCAATTCTGGGGGCCAGAAAAAAAGGAAGGTCTCTGACAACGTCAAAAACGATTGAACAGCTATAAAAGAAATCTTGATGTTTTAATAGAAATTTTTTTTAAAAAAACTGGGAGGGTGCAAGCAAGGGCAAACAAACTTTCTGGGGGCCATTGCATTTCTTGGAGCCAGAAAAAAAGAGGCTTAACAAAGTCAAAAAACGATTGAACAGCAATGAAAGAAATCTTGACATTTTGATACAAATTTTTTTTTAAAAACTGGGAGGGGGCAAGCAAGGCAAACAAACTTTCTGGGGGCCAGACAAAAGAGAAATATCCCTAACAAAGTCCGAAAACGATTGAATAGCTATGGAATGAATTTTGATGTTTCAATAGAATTTTTTTTAAAAAACTGAGAGAGGGCAAGCAAGGGCGAACAAACTTTCTGGGGGCCATTCCACTTCTGGAGGCCAGAAAAAAAGATCCCTGACAAAGTCAAAAAACGATTGAACAGCTATTGAAGAAATCCTGATGTTTTAATACAGAATTTTTCTAAAAAACTGGGAGGGGGAAAGCTAGGGCAAAGAAGTTTTCTTG